GGAAATTCAACTTCACTCGCGTCAACATTCGAACTTCGTCGATAAGTCGTTTCAGACTCTCCTTGAAGTTGCTCCGGATGACCTTGACCGAATTCTTGTATCTCTTCACTCTCTGTTAAAGTGGCGACCCGATCTTCAGGCCATCTGACCCATCCCGTTCGACCTTGAGCGAAGTTGTAAAATTCTTGAGAAGATACTAGCTTCATCGGCTCGAAGTGGACAGTTCCCTGGAACCGATGAACCCTGTAGATTTGCTTATTCTCCGGATTTATCACGAATTCATCGCTAGGCTCGGGAACTGATGGGTTCTCTTCAGGTTCGTTGCACCCGCACAGCCACGAGATAAATGAGATGCTCCGCGTCCGACGCTTCACCGGAGTCGCCAAGGTTATCAATACCATCCAGCACAGAATCAGGAGCAATGAATTGGTGGTTATTGGTGAAATCATGATTTTTACCTTGAGGTAGAACACACTTGGACACTTTTCAGTTACTGACTGATCATCGTCATTACCATGGGCCTTAAATAGAATCCTCAGTCGCAAATGAGTCTCGGTAAAAGTTCCTTATTCAGTGCGATTGGGATCGAAAGTAATTATCGGATTGGCGTAAATGTGCACTGATTTTGAATAGTGATGAGGGGACAGTAATGGACATTGAGAAATGTGGGATCATTAAGGTTCAAATGGGAAATCATTGGATCTTAAGCAGCGGGTTCATTAAGGGGAGACTACTATGAGTTTTACAGAAGTTTTTTTTTCAAAATTTTTGACAACAGTGGACAATAACAATTGCGAGTTAGTTTTTTTAAATTCGATTCCTGCACAGCTAATTTCGTTTTTTTTTATTTGAAAAACTGCACCATTCATGTTAAATAACCAGAAAAATGATCCTCAACATTTTTTTCAAAACATTTTTCTGGCTATTTTACATGAACGGTATAATTTTTTACATTCAAACAACGAAATTAGCTGTCTAGGAGTCGAATTTCAAAAAACTAGCTCGTGATTGTTATTGTATACATTTTTTCAAAAAATTTGCTTACAAATTGGAGGCCGTGGACTATTTTAAACATTTGAAGCATTTACGGGCAGACGAACAATAAGCAATTAATTTTTTTGCACCAATTATTCGTTTTTAGATATATATAATCGAACTTCAATTAGGGATTGGCATCAACCATTAATTTTAGTAATATTTGGGTTGAAATTTGGAAATGATACAATAATTGATAATTGTAATTTCCAATTGACTATGAATTAAATCATTAAAATAAGGGATTGCAAACTGACTAATATTTCGCGCAAATATTTCTAAATTTCGTAAAAGTGATTTTCGATTCACCAAATAATCGTCAATCCTCCGAACTCAATATTATTTAAGGATTGATAAAATAATTCGGAATTTGGTTATTTAATTGGTGATTAATTTTATACATAATAATTATCCGATAATGTTTCTAGTCTCCAATTCTCAGTTTTCGTCATTTATTCTATTCATTTCATCAAAAGACAAGGGTAGAAACCGAATTCATGGGAATTCTTTCACTATTCGAAAAAATATATCGATTTTCAAACTTTCCGGAGGCATTGAAAAATTAATTTTTTTAGTTGTTCCTGCCCACTTTTATTGCATTTTTTGAATTTGTTCTCGCCGAAATATTGAAAGCCCTCTAATACTTGAAGAAAGAAAGTGATTCGAAAGTCCTGCCGCCATAAAAGAAGAAAAAATCCTGTTTCTAGTCGATTATCCCTTTCTGACTTTTTTTTCATTTCCTTTTCATAATAATAATTGGAATCCGACCTGCCAGAGTTGAAAACCAGAGTTCATAGCAGAGATGTCAGACAAGATGTGATCGATTGATTGATTGATTCATTGATTTATTAACTGCACATTATGTTGTGCAAAAACTATGGCTGAAGCCATATAGCAGAAATAACAAGAGTATACTTAAGACAGACATTCATGTAAAGTAGCATAAGCACAATAGCTTGAAAATAAGATAAACTAGAGCTACAAAGGTAGAGGGCAACCAAGTACCTCAGCTAACCGTGAATCCACGGTAAAATTTACGTTTTAGTCACACGTGATGTGTGGGAATAGAAAATTGAGGAAATGAGATAATCGAGAGAATCGGTGAAATTGGAGTTGAAGAGGAGAGAGAGAAACGAGGGAAAATCGAACAATCGTAACATCTTTTGTAGAGATATCATCTTAGCTGACAATTTCACGGACAACTGGTGCAATATAGTTCTGGAGTTTCTCAGGAGATACTCAACAGCTGGTATTGAACTGTGGGGATGCGATACAATGGAATTAGACGAGACGCAGGTGAAGACATTCGAGATAGTATTCCATTAGAGATGAAATTTTTCGTGCAGTTATCCTGAGTAATTTTCCCTTTTTTTAAAAATATAACGTTCTTTGTCAGCAATCTACTTCGCCAAGCATATGCTAGATTTGGGAATATTTCAGGGTCATCTTAGCTTATGGATAAGTTGATAAGTAACAAAATAAATAAATAAATAAATAAATAAATAAATAAATGAATGAATATATATATCAATTTTTTTTTCAACAGATCAACATATTCTTTTTTTCATATTTATTTTATTATACATATGTATATGATAGTTAAGCTATGCAGGAACGATGAACAGGAAAAATATAGTGGAAAAATTCGAATATTCAAATTTCAAAAAAATTGAACATTTGGATATAACAAAAATGCTTATGGAATTGTTATGAACAGTAAATTTAGATGCACATGCAAAAAAAATAGAAGACCAATGTTTTAAAAGACAAAAATAAAATAAAAAAATGTGAATATTTAAAGATCACTTTTCAAATTTTTTCTCAAATCGAAACATATAAAAGCGGACATTAACTCCTTTTCAATGAATACATGAATACATAATATGAATAAATAATATGTATAAATTACTAGACAATTATGCGCGCGAAGCGCGTCCCCTTTTCTAATATTGAAAAAAAATACACGGATTAATCTATATGTATTTTTTTTAATATGAAAAAAAATTGAAAAATCAAAATCCTTGATACAATCCTCTGAACTGTAATAAAATATAAAAACAATACCATATAACCTTTCAATTACTTCTCCACATGCTATTACAACTTTCATTATTTCCAAAAATTAATCACTCTTAAAAACAATATGAACAATGAATGAATATTAGGAATCTGTGATGATGACTTGGCGCGCGCCGTTTTCCTAGTCCTGAGTAAAAATGCAATTTAGTTTGAATTGCAACATTCTATGGGCTTCCATTCAACCTAGTCTCCCCTCTCAATAAATCAGAAAAACTTTACGTCAGCCCCTCGATGCACCCGACTGAACTCAATTTTTTTTTAATTCATCGCACTCTATTCGTCAATCCCCATGTTTTGCATGGAACCGGTTCTTCGAACCCCGTTAAAGGTGAAAACTCAACGATGTCTGAAGATGTTTTGACGATAGCGTAAATAGCCGTATAAAAACGTTCATTTCCGGTGGAATACCAAGCCCGATGCATCTGTGTTCCCCGTACACGTGCTGACTGAGAAACTTGGAATCGAAGAAAGTGACACGTTATTTAATACATTGGAAAGCACATGACAGCGGATGAATAACGCAGTAAAATGAGTAATTGTTCACAAATCATTTTTCCATTTTTACGTCTCAAAATTTCACTTTTCCATTCACGTACAGCTCGAGGAATTCAGTAAATTTTTTTATGCGGATTTCTGCTGACGACATTGCGAAACGTGAAGTTATTTATGAAAATATAATGACTACGATGAAGTTTAGATTACTTGAAGATGCTGAAGAGATGGTGAAGTGCATATGAAGAGGTCTGAAGATGCCGAAAAAGATAGTCTCCCGATAGTTTTGGATTGAGGAATGTAGTTTTTATCACTTGATGCCTCTGTCGATGCCGTAAAATGCATGTACATAGGCATAAAGAATTTCCGAGCATGAAATTAAAAATGAGAAAGTGCTACTCTCCATTCATTATCATGTAATTATTCATCAATAAAATCATTCAAGCACCACAATTAGTCATCTCATCGCATACCTGATGCAACACCTGTCCCATTCTGAAAACTTGCTGATGCAGTTCAATTTTTCTCTCTCTTACCATCAATTCCGCCGCGTGCCGAATAATACCCCAACTGAAGTCATTCCACAAATCCAGAGCTGGGCAAAATACTATTTGAAATAATTAAAATATTAAAAAAATTTCATCTGAAACCAAATCATGAAATGATGAAATAAAACAGTAAATACTATTTCATTTTTGTTTCGTTGAAATGAAATATCACGTTACTATTTTATTTCAATTTCAAAAAGACATAAGTAAATAGTCAACTTGAAATATATATTTAAAATAGTATTTTTTTTATTGTTATTTAAAGTGCACAATTTTTAATTAAATTATTTACACTGTCGTTGGACTATTGCAGTTTCAGAAATTGTTCGAATTTTGCATAATTAATATCCTGTTTACATTTAGTTTCTGTACATGGTTACTGTTGCAGTTATACTTTTATATTACACTCCTTCAAATAATTACGTCAAATAGTATTTCATCGTACTGAACCATTTGAAATATTATTTCTATGTGATATTCATAAAATAGTGCTGAGCTCTGCATAACCCGAGAGAAGAGTGGAGATGCGATACAAGCAGGTGAGTGTCCGAAGATTCCGGCTCGACGGTGAAAGCTGAATGAGGATCAAAGGTCGCGACACCTGCTGCTTCTTCTCGTCTCTCTTGGGAGATTTTCTCGAATGTAGAGAAGAAAAAAAATCGAAATCAAGAGGTGAAAGTTACTCCAACATTCATTCTCTTTTCTCCTCATTCGACGGCTAATTTACCATACCTGTGACTCTTGTAAAATGTGAAATTGGGTAAAGCTGGCCACATCGTGCGTGGGAAAATAAAATGAAACAAATATTTTTTTATGTAAAAAAAAATAATAAAAAAGAAGCTTTATTTCGCCACCGTTTTTCTTGCAAAAAATAATCGTATAAACATTTTTTTTTCTTTTCATTCTTTCACTATCCTTCGACTTTTCTTCGCCATAGTCGTATTCGTCGTTATTTTCATACTTTCATTCAATTACAATACAAAACAAATCATCATCTTGAGGATCTTCAGGTATATTACAGTCGTACGATGATAATTATAATAAATTCGATGAGGAGGGATGAAGAGCAATGGTATGAGGACAGTATCACAGGGTCGATCGTACATCTGGGCATTCAATGATTATGATCGACAGTGTGTTACCATTAATTCGCGATGTTGTTTGTCGGACGTGGAAACAACGCGCGCCATCTTTTCACACGAAAAAATACGCGCAGTGCACGTGCGTCGAACGTTTCAATTAGACTAATTGATGATAAATTCTACTCGTAATCACGCAGAGAGACATTGAGGACGACAAGAATTGGAGGAGAATGATGAACAACGATAATTGGAGATTGATCTCGGATTGTCATTGTCATCGTTGTCTGCATTTGTTTGGGTAATTGTGTTGTCGTGGATTAAATTGACTAGTAGGGGCCGGATTGTCCGGGAGGTCCGTAGTTAGAGCTGGGTCCTGATGGTCCACTGGGCCCGGTGCTACCGTGTCCACCGTCGGCGATTATACCGGAGCCTGATGAGCCACTGCCAAGTCCACCGAGGGAACCACCACCGAGGGAGCCACCGCCGAGGGAGCCGCCACCGAGGGAGCCACCGCCGAGGGAGCCACCACCAAGGGAGCCGCCGCCGCCGAGGGAACCACCACCAATGGCACCACCACCTTCCTTCTGTAAACGAGAAAAATATTTTTTTCGATGAAGAACTGTTGTGCAGGACAAATAATCCCAAAATAATCAATTTCCCAATCGTTCAGAAGCTGAATATGCAATTTTAAAAACTTTGAGAGGCTGATGATCCCGGAAATTTCAAAGATGACGAAGTCCATGTACGAAAAAATTCAATAGAAAACCTTTGCAAATCACTGGAAAATTCTATTAAAATTCTCGTTAAAATTCTGTTTGTTTTTCGCGCAGAGTCAACTGGATATTTGATACGAAAAAGTCAATAGATTTCGATTTTTCTGCTTGAATTGTTGTCTTGAGATTTTTTCCATTAAAATTATTAGTCACGGATTTTCCAATTTTCTTCCGCCATTCTTTTTGTTTTGCATTACAGGATCCGAGTGAAAAAAAATTAGAAAATTCATGCCCAAGTGTTCTTATAGAAAAAATTCCAGGAGAATATTCCCATAAAAAATCGAAATCTATTGACTTTTTTCAAATATGAAAAATCTCATAGAATTTTTCTATTGAATTTTTTCACACTCGAATCCTCCATTCAACCGTCCACGTTATTACTAATGGACCCTTTGACCATATTATGGTCATACATATCTTCACATGTTATGAAGTCTCGATAAATCAAATAAAAATGGCACCCTAATGATTGAATTTTCTCACCTGAGTCTTGTACTTGATGAAGTAAACCTCTGGTTTGGATGGCTGAGTTGGGGCAATTGTTGGGAGACTGATCTCAGGCGCTTCCTCTGGCTTCTTAACAAGAACATAGATAAGCGTCTTCTGCTCGTCTTGCTGTGGGAAGGCTGGGATAACTGGGGCAGTTGGGGTTGGTGCAGTTGGCGCCTTGATGAAGATAATCTTGTAGTGTTTCTGTGGCTGTCCAACTGGGCCAATTGGTCTGATTGGTCTCTCCTCAGGTGCCTCTGGTGGTGGCACATGAACATAGATGTGTTTCTGGATTAGGGCACCACCCGATCCTCCGCCAAATCCACCGCCGAATCCGCTGCCGGATCCACCACCGAATCCACCACCGAATCCGCCGCTGGATCCGCCACCGAATCCGCCGCCGGATCCGCCACCAAATCCGCCGCCGGATCCACCACCGAATCCACCGCTAGATCCACCACCGAATCCTGAAATTGATCCTACGTTGCTACTTCCCAATCCTTGGAAAGATCCACCACCGAGGGAGCCGAGGGATCCACCGCCGAGTCCACCGTGACCACCACCGAGTCCTCCGAGAGAACCTCCCCCGAGACTACCGCCTCCTGGTGCACCGTAGCTACCGCTCGGCTGCTGATAAGAGTATCCAGCCTCTGGCCTTGCCACCGCCACTGTGGCGAGTGCCACAATCTTCAGGAGCAAAAAAAATCAGAAAAATTAATCATGTCAAAATACTTCTTCTCCAAAATACTTCTTCTCCTTGCCCGATGGCCTGGCGCAGTGGGTAAGGTCGTTGCTTCACGTGTGCAAGGTTTTTCGAGTTCAAATCCCGGTCGGGTAGAATAGTGAGATCTAATCATTTTAAAGTCGTGATCGTCATCGCAATATACACGGAGAGAAATATTCAATAAAAATTACGTATCTTTTCCGTAATTCCGGAGTCAAATGTGGCTGTAGGAAATTTTACGGAACTGTCACGGAATTTTTCCGGAACGTTCCGTAATTTTTATCTGAATCTCCTGTGAAAAATTACGATACCGACACTTAAATTTTCTGAGTCGATTACGTAATCGGTGGGTGAATTGTGAGTTCCGTAATTTTTACTGAATATTTCTCTCCGTGTACTCAATCGATTCGAAGCGATGTCAAATAACAATTAAAAAAAACTTCTTTTCTTCAATTCTGACCAAGTTTTCTCTTCTATTTTTAATATATGGAGTCACTAAAATTCCGGGAAAGGTGAAAGTTACCGATCGCATGATGATGACGATGATGATAATGGAAATACATTATTGTTAACGCGGAAGTGAAGGCACTAGATGTTTTTTTTGGATTTGAACTCACCATGAATACCCTCATGGCTGATTATATGTTAAAATTGCAGCTGTATTGTAGGAGAGCCTTGGCTGCTGTTGCTCCTTTGATTGAGGACTGATGCTTGTTCACCGTTTGGTGAGCGGCTTTTATACGGACGAGCGACGCGTGAGCTACTGTAGAGGGTACCACTAGAGGCGGGAGGATTCCGTGATGGAGAGGAGAATGTTTTTTTTCTTTTTTGTCGTTTTTCAACGGTTCTTCTCTCTCAGTTTGAGCACTTTGGGATCATAAGTTGATGGGAATATCGGGAGATTGGACTTGCAAGACTCGGAAATCTATGAAATATTTTGAGGGGGATTGGAGAGGAAGGAGTGGCCATTGGAGGCGAATTATTCGGAATTAATGATTGAGACATGAGCGAAATCTTTTTCAGTGGAAAATTGTTGGTATTCGTTATTCAACCCGAGGGGGAATTAACGAGAATTATGGGGGCTATTAATCTGTACGGAAGTTTAATTATGCTCGGTAAATAATTCGAGTTATGATGAGTATTAAATCGGCGATTGGGGGGTGAGGGGAATTTTAAATGGTTGAGGAACTGCATTCGTCGGAGTTATTTCTTTGGTGACCGGAGTTTTTTTTCCCCATTGAATAATTTCTGGAAATTTTTTCTCGGCGAATTTTTCCCTTGGAAACTTTTTCTTATCAATCCTTCCTCGGCGAATTCTTCCCTTTGAAATTAATTTTCCTTGCGAATTTTTTCCACTTAGGATCTTGCTTGGAATTTTAATTTCAGAAAATGCTAATTGAATTTCTCTTTTTTTGTCTTAGAAGGAACACTATGAAAAAGATTGAAAATGGTTGACTTAAAGGAAAAACTGGATCTGGATTTTAATTCTGTCTTGTTGTAGGGGTTCTATTTGAAGAGTTGAATCCTATTTTGACGAAAAGGTGTTTTTAAATTATGCATGATGTTCAAAAATTGTCGACTTCAAGAAAATAATAGATGTAACATTGAATAAAGATGAATTCAGTATCGAAGCGGTAAACCGACCGGGTCAAGTCGATTTTGACTTTTGGTCAGGTTTTGATGAATATCTCGGAATCTAAGAGAGATATCAAAATTTCTCTCATGGCCTTTTTTATCATACTTAATTGGCTCTACAATAAAGGTCGGAACAAAAATTTTTCCATCTCTGTTAGATTCCGAGATATTCGTCAAAAACTGTCAAAAACTTGATGTTGTATTCAAATATGTCTGAATTAATATTTTCCGGGGTAATTTCAAATGAGTTTTTTTCTTGGGGACATGGAAACTTTTTCTAAGAAAAATTTTTCAGGTGAACAATTTTCCGGGGGATTTTTCACAGAGAAAAAATATCTGGGAACCTAAAATGTAATTTTTTAACCCTCAACATGAGTCAGTAATCTCCTAGAAATAATCATCTCAACTGCAATTAAGACTTCAACTCATCGATGTTCCGAACACAGACCATTCTTCATTGCCAGTGGCAAATGGCTGATGTTGGCTCGCTACCGGGCACCGAGTTAAGTTTTTCCAACACAAATAATTGGTGACAAATAGAAAATTATTTGACTTGATTTGCTACACTCGGATGCTATATGTGGATTGATGGACATGTTGTGGACCTTTGGAGTAGTACTTTCTACGACATTTAACATTCATCACTGGGTGATTGGATGATTACCGAAAATTTCGAAATTTCACGAGAAAATATGTAGGGTAAACAGGCCAATAGCTAGACGGTCAAGGAAACGTTGAAGTTCATTAAAGGATTTAAAATTGACGAAGTATCTGAATGAATAAAAAAATGAGTTCTAGGCCTTAAAGAATATCCGAATTACGAAAAAACAACAATTTGAAGTGGAAAAATTGAAGAGAAGAATAATTAAATGGAATTCTCTGGAGGAATCTAGAATTTTCATCCAGTTTACACAAACATGTGAATTTTTTTTATTGAATGTGAAGAAATACAAGGCCAAATAGATTGTTAATCTTCGGGATGTGATTCACCTCCTGAAAATATTGTGCTATTTCCCACATCCGACTCTTTCGAAAGAGAACTTCTTTTTCTTCTCCACGACACTTTGTCACTGATGCTTAGCAAATTGCAACGCCACGCCACCCAGCACTGTACACTGAGAGGAAAATCTGACGTTCGATTTACAATAAGAAAATAGTTGAGGCAGTTTTGGTGAACGATAATTTTTGCAAATCAAAATGCAGTTAAACTAACCAAAGTTCAAAAGTAACCGCGGCAAATCTATCGTGAGTAGAACTATAAAATAGTTGCAATGACTACATTCTATTGTAGTAATCACTTCTCCGGCCACGGTTACCGTAACCCATGCGAAATTGTTGAGGACTTTTTGACTAGAATTCGATGGTGATGGAATATAGTCAGAAGAATCATATTTTTCTCTCAGTGTACCCGAGGTGCTAGTAACTCCTGAAATCATGGTGTCACTTGCTGGTGAAATCAATTTGGAGTCACCCATGAAATCACTGAAACCGCTGACACCGGTGAAATCATAGAAATCTCGTGACTCCCATTCATGGAGTCATTTCTTGAAGTCACAATGAAATCATTTGCAATCAATGAAATCCATGAAATCACGAGGGAATCCCTCGACCGAAAATACACCACGCTCTACACTCGTTCTAGAATTTTTGGTTCGAGAATTTTGTAGTTCATACGCGCGTATTGATGGTAACAAAAGAGAGGTGTCTTGTGTTGTTGGTACATTTTAAAGACAAATTCAGATACGTTACTGTCGCAGCCAATGACATCTCAGGGCTATGTTGCTATTAAACAATATCGAAAAACAATTTCACCTCCAACGTTTGATGATGAAGGGCACTTGAAAATTGACCAAAAATTTTTGAGAGAAGTGGAAAAGTACTTCTAGCATTGTTCATTCGTTTATTAGAAATAATAATAATTTGTAAGCGTTCGTTAAATGTTTTGTGATAATAATTGTGGTGTTTTGTGTTGTTGGTACATTTTAAAGACAAATTCAGATACCTTACTGTTGCAGCCAATGACATCTCAGGGCTATGTTGCTATTAAACAATATCGAAAAACAATTTCACCTCCAACGTTTGATGATGAAGGGCACTTGAAAATTGACCAAAAATTTTTGAGAGAAGTGGAAAAGTACTTCTAGCATTGTTCATTCGTTTATTAGAAATAATAATAATTTGTAAGCGTTCGTTAAATGTTTTGTGATAATAATTGTGGTGTTTTGTGTTGTTGGTACATTTTAAAGACAAATTCAGATACCTTACTGTTGCAGCCAATGACATCTCAGGGCTATGTTGCTATTAAACAATATCGAAAAACAATTTCACCTCCAACGTTTGATGATGAAGGGCACTTGAAAATTGACCAAAAATTTTTGAGAGAAGTGGAAAAGTACTTCTAGCATTGTTCATTCGTTTATTAGAAATAATAATAATTTGTAAGCGTTCGTTAAATGTTTTATGATAATAAAATCAATCGTTTTGATAAATAATTATTTGATCTCGATTATTCTTTCAATTTTGGGTCATTGACTTTTCAGTGATTTCAATTACGTAGAAATCATTGATTTCAGTTGAATAGAGTCAATGAAATCATGATCAGTCATGAAATCACTGGAAACCGTGCTTGAAATCAATGAAATCGTGAATTCAATGCAGTCATTGAAATCACTGATGTCGTCAGGTGAAATCGACTGCAGTCTGTAGTCATCGTGTCACTCGATCTTGGAGTCATTAGCCCCTCGACTGTACCTCACAAATATTTTTTTTTCTCGCTGTATTGTTGATATTTCGAGAAAAAAATTCATCCCCTGGTTATACATAAGCGTTATTATTCATAATGATAATAATCCGTTCAGTTTTCATTCTATTATTTATAGCAAATATTCAATAAAAGGTGAAATCGTCCAGGTTCACTCTATTATACGATAACTTGAGAAAAAATGAAGATAGCGAGTGGAAATTTGGTACGATTATAGCTCTTACTGAGCGGTTTCGGAGATGTTCAATCCAATAGAATTGGTAGAAATGAAAAAGCTTCACTGAAATTGAATAACTGAATAAACATTGAAATTCGTGGTATGCCCAATATTTTGAGATGCGCCTAATGGACATACATTATTGCATCATTAGACGCAACGTCAAGTGCAGCAGTGCCTCAGCGGGCAGTCTCTGATCCGCTCTTATTACGTCGAACGAGACAGATGGTAAGATACACCGTGGCTAAGACTCCCGTGGAAGATTAGCCCGGCCGATTATGGGACAGACGTGTCGTGAAATCTCTTTATCAATTCCGTGAGAATGACGCCAACTATTTTTCCCCGTCACTGGGGATTGGTAATTGATAGCGTCAATTAGGGTAACTGTTGTTAATTTTTCTACGTTTGCATTCTTCAATTATCACATTATCTCCACAAATGTTGATTTTTGGAAGATGTTACATTCCAATTTAATTTCACTAAATTTATTCAGAAAATGTCTTTCGTCAGAAATTCCTTGTTCCAAAAAAGTTCTCTTGACATTCAACATAGAATATTTTCGTGTGGCGATCTCTCCCTCCCCCCCCAATCTCCCTCGGATTATTTATTTTATTTTTCACCGGAGGCAAAGACTTTCGCGAGGACGGGTCCCTCTCGCCGTCGCGTTATTTTCGTGAATGTATTGAATTGAGATCGGCAGGGGAGCACAGAGGAAGGCAACCAAAGGATTCTCTCGGAATGAGAAAGGCAAAAGCCATGTAAAGTAAGAATTAAAAATGAAAGAAACGGAAAAAAATTGTTTGGGTTGCACACACAGAGGAAAACAGAATGTGTGTGTGTGTGTGCACACCTTTCTGCCCTCAAGCGGTCCAGCGAATATTTTTCGTTGATGGTACGTCCGGGGCAATCGGTCGTTTCCCCGTTCACCTTATTGACGATGGTTATAAGCCCATGTCTGGTGTCTTCACTTTTACTTGGGCTGCCCTCGAGTGTAGCACGCGCACTTGAGTTGCGACGGCAGGGGAAAAGTGGGGGATGGCTTCAGGACAGATTGCCTTGCTTTGTCTCAAACAGAAATTGAGC